TCCCCACTTTTAAGGATGGTTCGACCTTCCCAAGTAAGTTGTGGATGTACACGGGGCACATTTATCCCTGCAGGTGCATTTGCATCGGGTATATTTGATCTTGTCACTTTTGCTAGATCATTAAAAGCATATGGCATGCTTTGAGCAATGCTTTGAAGATCTATAATTCGTCACACCTCAGTTTCAGACTGGGTGGTGCGGGGATCTAAATGAGACATAGTGGGAGCATACCACGACAATTCACGGCGTTTTATGGGAACGTTAGCATGCTTATGTCCCCTATTAACGGGAAGACAATCTCATCAAAGTGACAATTAGTAAAATGTGTGGTAAAGAGATCTTCTGCCAAGGGTTCTACATAGTGAACAATTGATGGCGAATCATAACCGATATAGATTCCCATTTTTCTTTGAGGACCCATTTTGGTATGTAACGGCGGCGCTATTGGCACATAAATGACACACCCAAACACCTGTAAATGCGAGACGTCAGGCTCGTATCCAGTGACCAACTGTAACGGTGAATGTGGTTGAGTAGTGGTGGGCCTCAAGAGGACCAACATAGCTGCGTGCAATATTACATAGCCCCAGGCTGATACCAACAGTTTGATTCTCATAACCAAAGTCTGAGCTATCAATTGAATATGTTTTATGAAAGCTTCTGCCAGGCCATTTTGGGAATGAACATGGGGTACAGGATGTTCCACATCAATCCCTATTGACATGCAATAATCGTCAAAAGTCTGTGATGTAAACTCTTCACCTTTGTCCAGTTGATTCGACTTAATTAGATAATCAAGGTGGTGAGCCCTAAGCTTAATAATTTGAGCTAGGAGTTTAGCAAAAACGACGTTGCTTGTGGACAACAGGCAAACATGTGACCATCTTGTCGATGTATCAACCAACACCGTAGAGTATCTAAATGGTTCGCAGGTTGATTGGATAGGTCCACAAATATCCCCTTAAATCCTCTGAAGAAACTTAGGGGGGTTATGAACAATCTTTTTATATGAGGGTTGAGTATTCAACTTCCCTAAAGAACACACTTTGCATGGCAGGAGTCTAACATAAAGATGTAACTTATGCCTGTATGAAGATTTAAGGATACGGCGCATCATGTCACATATAGGATGTCCCAAACGGTCATGCCAAAGCAACAAAGAGTCCTAGAACTCATGCATAGGGCCGGCCACACTGTGGGTTTCTATGTTGCGAATGGTTATGATGTACAACCTATTCAGCAGACGTTCCAACTTCTCATGAATACGCTTATGGCCATATTCGTACAAAATGACACAAAGAAATTCAGAACCATTATCTCAAGTTTGTACCATTGGACAACATGATACATGCCTTTCCGTATCATTCAACCAGGTTGGATGAGCCTGAGAGAGTTGTCAAATGAGCTTTCTTGGGTATTAAGTTAGTAAAATAGTGTCGTCGTTCACGCAAGATGGTGTGCGTGGTTGCACTGGTCACATGTATAAATATAAGTCCTTTCATTCAATTAAGCAATTCAAGAAAATAATATCAATTCAAATAACAATCCATAATTCAAAACAAACCAAAACCAAACAAATTATTCCAAATACTTAGAAAAATTGTTCAAAATTAAACCATAAACCTAGAAAAATAAGGGGGTAAGGTCGGCCACTCATAGTAGGTTTGGCCACTAGGGGTAAACACTCTAAAACACGTCTAATTTATTCATCAATAAGAGCTTACGTCTCCTAAAAATCTCCATTGATGTAGTTGCATCTTCCGAATGATCCACATGTGCAAAGTTAGACTCACGACGAGAATGATACTTGGCAATAGCCTCAGGGGAAGTTCAGCATATGCATGACCAATGATCCATTGATCCATATCGATAACACATGTCCAGTTCAGTAGAAGCAGGCTGAACTGGAGCTTTGCCCTTGTTCATGAAGTTTGGGGCCTTAAGGGTGAGTGGTGGACGCTGTTAGATCACATTTCTTCCTTTAGGTGCGGCACTCTGTTGATCGTGGGCCTGTGGTGGGGCTTGCTGCCCATTGCCACAGTTACGATGATTCTTTCGTCATTTATGGCTGCTAGAATTAATCGTATTTTTTTCGCTTCAGGCGTGGCGTTCGAGCCAATTGGTCAAGCTTGATGATTCTTCATCAAAACCTGGTTCTGCTTTTCAGCGAGAAGTAAAACAGAGATCAAATCTGAAAACTTGGTGAATTTTTGTGCCCTATATTGTTGCTGCAGGACAATTCTACAAACTTTAGAGTTGTATTCATTCACTGACTTAAAGTCCTGGAAGCGAAGATGCTCCCAGTCGTGTGTTGCTTTAGGCATGTGTTGGATCGAAAATAATATTATTGGATCGAAAATATAGCCCCAAAAATATTTGGGCTCGGGGTGGGTGCCTTGAGTAAAAGGCAAGGCCTAAAAGGGCCTCGGGAATGGGTTGTAGCCCCGGGAGGGGGAGGGGCGGGAGAAACCCCAGCAGTAGCTGGGTTTCAATTTTGGCCTAGGGGATGGCACATCACAAGGCCCAGCAAAAGTTGGCCTGTGGGTTTGGCGCGGAAAGCCCAGCCACATGGGCTAGTTGCAGGTGATGCGTGGAGTGGGTCGTAGGGACCAAGCCCAGCCTTATGGGCTGACGTGGAGGATACGAGTTGTGACGCGGGCCAAGGTGCAGGTTGCAGGCCTGGGCAACACAAAACCTAACAACCATAAAGGTTGCTGGGTGCAGGGGGAAAACCCAGCCAATTTGGGCTTGTTGAATGGCACAGGCCATGGTACAAACAGGCGAAGGGCTTCAGGCCTATCAGATTGACCCTAGGCTGAGGCCTGGTTTCTGCGTGCACAGTGATGGTGCGGTGGGTGTACCGCACCATGTTTAATTTCCCCTTTTTCGAAATCCCTTAGGGTTGAGGAAACCCTAAATATGCTTCTAATTTAATTTTATACATTGACTCACATATTCCACATAACAATTTAATTGTGCGATGCATGAAACAAATATATATATATATATATATCAAAAGGAAAATATAAACATATAGGGGTTCATGCCATTGTGCCTTTATTTATAGTAGTAGGATAGGTAAAAACCTTTTCTTTTAGGATTACAACATTTAATAGGTAATTTACTCCTAATAAGAATATAAGATACATTCCCATATCTACTTAAATTTATACAATCACATTCCTATTCTAAATATGACTGCAACACTACTATTATTTTGCCTATTCATCAAAATGTGAAATCTATTGAGTCATGATTTCTAGCAAGTACTTCTTGATTTTCTGACCCAAAAATGTAAGTTTTTCCTCTACAAACTCAAGGACGAAAGTAATTTCTCTCTTTAGACACTCTTTATTTGCCTCATAGGGATCTTGGTTCTTGCTCTTTGAAGTTGGAATTTTTTTCGACGTTTCAATTAATGTGAATTTTTTTCTCCTCCCATATTTCGGTTATGGACATTTAATTATTGTTTGAGCACAATTTGCAGCAGTAATCAGAATGACTAGAATAACCTCTAAAGCTATCAAAAAACCCTCAAAGAGTGAAAGTGACACTCAGAGCAGTAGCCTTGGAGCTTGAATATATAATTGCATACCTTAGATGATGGGTGAATAGAGACATTTACAGTGGTGATTGGAGAGTCTTTGAAAGAATTGCCAACCCTAGCTAGTCCGTGTGTAGTTCTGAATCCAAGAGGAAATCTAGTAAGATATCTCCTTACTTTTTAGATCACCCAAATCCATAAACTAGAGACTAATCTGGATTTAGATAAATATATCCTAACTTACTTGTCATGCAATCAAACTTATTTAACCACACCCACCGTAACTGGACCTCTCAGACCTGAGAGACGTGGTACGTTGGACTCTGACCTGACCAACTTAACCGCTCAGGGCAATCTGACATTCCGTATTAGAATGCCACTTAGCAGTATCTTCAAAATAAGTACGTAATCAAACAATCCTTAATAAAAATGATTTTAATATGACTAAAAGCATTTTTGGTAAAAATGTTTTGAAACCAAGTTCTAATAGAAATGCTTTTAGTAAAGTGTTTTTTGTGAAAGTGTTTTGAAACCAATCATTGATAAAAATGCAAATGAATCCTAAAAAAACACTTGAAAAAGTACATGAAGTTCAAATGCTTGTGGAACTCAAAAATAATTTCACCAAAAGCGTTTGCAATCACTTTAAAGCCCTTCCAAACGAGCTTCATGATAATCTCCAGCTTTGTGTTGTAGAAATGTCCCTACCGGTAAGTCACATGCTCTTGGTATTTAGGGCATGAAAGTTAATAAAAAAAAGCTGTAGGATAAGAGGAAAGACTGCCATTTCCTCTACTAATTCCTATTTTACAAATGTTTACTTATATACAATTTTGAATTAATTAATTAAAACTTCGTGATCGCTTAGTAAGGAAAAGGCAAACAAACATTGAAGAAATGGAGATGGCGACTTCCAATACGACACATCAAAATTTGGATGTATTCATCCTAGTGCAGACTCCACTACTAGCTCCTATTAAATCAATGTACTTTTAAAGTTTATAGATCAGAGTTTTTGTTCCCTTGTTAATTAATATTTTTTATTCTTAACAATCACAGGTTCGTAGCACTCTAGATTTAACCTCATTATATGCAAACACTGAAGATAATTCACGGGGTACCATGAAACTCTGCAAATTAAGCAGTCAACTATTGCCATTGTTACCCGTGGTTATTGTCTTTTTATGAACCCAATTTCTCTAATATAAACTCACGCTTATTACATTCCAACGGCACAAAAACAAAACTTTAGAGGAAAGCATCAAGGTAAAATGAGATATTAAAATTGGATACATTTATTTATATTGCAAATCACTTGGCACAAAAAGACATTTAATGGCACACGAGGAGACTTTTAAAAGAAAACCAAAAATTATTATGGAGATTAGCTTTTGAAAGATACCATGCAAAACACTCAACTCAATTTACATTATAAATACCCCAATAGCGTCGACGCCACAACCACAAGTCTGGCATTTTGAAGATAGGTTCTTGTGTAGACTGTCATCACAGAGTGGTTTCTTCCTCCACTGCAATATTGTGTGTTTTGTGTCTCCAGTTGCTTCACAATAACATACCTAGATCTTTCTTCCCAAAACTATGAAGTAATTAACTTTTATTTCTTGCTAGGAAAGACTGTTGTGTTTTGAAGTGGATCAAGATGTTCACAGAAGCTTGCACCTTATTGCTTTCATGCATCTTTCTGTATTTTGGTATCTCTCTCTCTCTCCTCGCTCTCTCTCTTATATATATGTAAATTTTTCATGTTATTTTAACAAAAATATATCTTCACCTTGCCAAGAAAAGTGATTAAGCATTAGGATCCTAATTGTTTTTCTTGTTCCTTTGGTTACTGTTAAATCATGCAATGAATGTTTTGCCGTCGTATAAATTCATCTTTCTAAAAGTAAACCTTTTCAACTGTTACAGGGCATGGCACCCATGCATCATACTACAACTACTCCACAACAACAAAGGCAAGAATCAAACTCCCTTCACAATAATTTCTTTCTTTTGCTTGTATAGGTTTTGTCACTTAATGATCAGATTTATAAATTATATATATATATATATATATGAATTTATTATACATGACTTGTGAAACATTGTTGAAAATCATTAACTCCTAGCTACAGTGCTTGGTAGAGCCACTAGATGCCCTATATGGAGGAGGGATTATAGTAAATCCAGAATTTAATTACAACATTGAAAGATGGGAGGCTTTTGGAAAAGGGAAAATAGAAGAACGGATATCGAAGAAAGGAAACAGGTTCATGGTGGCACACAGTAGAAAACATCCACTAGACAGTTTCTCGCAGAAGGTTTGCGTTGAGAAAGGGAAAATCTATAGCTTTTCTGGTAACTAATTTCATCATCAATTTAAAAGCTATTTTTAATTGGATGTAATGTATATATTGTAGATTTAAGAGTATAATACTTGTTTCAGCTAGAACTTACGTGATTTATTAATTATTTGTTACATTATTATTTGATTGAGGCAAGTTTTGGAAATTTTCAGCTTCTGTTCAAGTGAGTGAAGGAAGTGGGATAGTAGCTGTTGTTTTCAAGTTTCCCAACCGCGATGCTGTGCGTGGTGGTGATGTAATAGCTGAACATGGGTGTTGGACACTGCTAAAAGGCGGTTTCGTAGCCAATTTCACAAGCCCTGTTGAGATTCTTTTTGAGGTACGGTAAGGTGACATATATCCATATATATATATATATATATATATATGAATATATGTATATGTATATGTTATGGTTCTTGTAATATTGGCAATTCTTCATTTCTATTTTCAAACTATCGATCAAGGAAGAATCACCAGTATCCTACTGATACCACAAGAAATTCAAAATTAAATGAGTTTCTTGACCGATATGCTTTTTTGTATGTATCTTTTAACTAGAGCAAAAATACATCAGTGGAAATAATGGTGGATAATGTCTCATTGCAACCTTTCACCAAGGAGGAATGGAGATCCCACCAAGACAAAAGCATTAAAGAGGTACCTGGTACACCCAAACACGATGAATCCCTTGTTTTGCGTTATGCATAAGTATAGGGATAGTGTCAATTCGTATTCGCAGGTTGTGTTCATGTCGTGTCATTTGATGATAATTTTGTTCACTCTAATCCCTGCAGCTGCGAAAAAGTAAGGTGAGGTTCCATGTAACTCAGGCAAGTAAAAATCCTCTTAATGGTACTAAAGTCTCCATCAAGCAAGTTAAGTCGCATTTCCCATTTGGATGTGGCATGAACCATTACATCCTCACAAACTCCGATTACCAGAAATGGTTCGCCTCGAGATTTAAATGGACTACTTTCACCAATGAGATGAAATGGTACAGCACTGAGAAAGCACGTGGCCAAGAAAACTATACTATTGCAGATAACATGGTCAAATTTGCACAAAAAAATGGCATTTCTATTAGAGGTCACAATGTCTTCTGGGACGATCCCAAGTACCAGCCCGACTGGGTTAAATCCCTTTCCCCTGAGGAAGTACGAACAGCAGCAGCAAAGCGAATCAATTCAGTTGTTTCTAGATACCAAGGACAACTCATTGCTTGGGATGTAGTGAATGAGAATCTTCATTTTAGTTTCTATGAAGATAACCTCGGCGAGAATGCTTCAGCAGAATTCTATTCCACAGCTCAACAGCTTGATCCTGACACAACTATGTTCATGAATGAGTATAACACCATGGAATATAGTAGCGACGAGAAATCAAGTCCAGCCAACTACAAGAAAAAACTTGAGGAGATCTTATCATATCCCAGAAATGAAAATTTGTCGCTAGGAATAGGGTTGCAAGGTCACTTTGGTTCTGGTCAGCCAAATCTTGCGAACATGAGATCTACTTTAGACATGTTAGGTGCAATCGGACTGCCAATATGGCTTACAGAAGTGGATGTGGAAAAAGACCCGAATCAGGTACGAAAACTGCAATATGTAAAGCAATTTGATGATCAATAAAAGTCCAAAAATAGCAAACTTGGCCCGTGACATTTTCAATTGCAAGAGTTTATATTAATACACTACTATTTTATTTTTTTTTGCAGGCTCAGTATTTGGAAGAGGTACTAAGGGAGGGATATTCTCATCCGGCGGTTCAAGGGATCATCATGTTTGTAGGTCCAGAGATAGCCGGGTTTAATGTGACCACCCTTGTAGATAAGAACTTCAAGAATACACCAGCAGGAGATGTTGTGGATAAGCTGATTGAGGAGTGGAACTCTAACACTCAGGAAATCATAGCAGATGATCAAGGATATATCGATGTTTCTTTGTTCCACGGTGATTATGAGATAACTGCAGAAGGCCGCGTTGCTAATACCTCGGCTACCCTAAGTCTTAGGGTTGCACGAGCTCATGAACCGCAGGCAATTGTTCACGTTCATATTGATACTTGAAACTGAAACACAATGTATACATGAGAAAAATAAATTTCTACAGTATTATCACAAAATCCTGGTGCAACAGCCTACAGAAATTTGTGATAGTTAATAGCAGTTGTTGCCAAAAGTTGAAAATTTGTTGCCTAAGAGTATACGCAACAAATTGCAGTCATTGCCACTTGTTAGACCTTAATAACTAAATCAATAAAATACATGACTATATATGGACTGACCTGGAGCTGGAGATGCTGAAAGCTTTGGTTGCTTGAACCACAAGGAAATCTAGCCTTTATGTGCCATAGACTCAATGGGGAGTTTGTAAGCTTTGATGCGTATACTATATGTGCAGGGATCCCTTGTATTTATAGTGGCATATATCATAGAGTTCCGTCCATAAAAGAACCCACAATTCACCTGGAAAGCCAATAACTTGATCCACACGCCAACATAGAGATCTAGACTCTTTGAACCCCTTTAACCTCAGATAATACAATCTAATACACTACTTAAGAGAGGACAGTTGTGTCATAATTCTACAATGACTATGAGACCAAACCCTAAGTGAATACATAGTAAAAAGGTGAAGTAAAACTCCAGCACCACTGTCATTGTCTTTACTGCCATATATTTCTATTTAACAGCATCCTTCCAAGCCAGCAGAACGGAAAATAAGTGCATCCACATTGATTTTGGGTATTCCATACCTTATTATGGTAAGTAAGCATGCCCCAATCTAATATAAATTACACAATGGGGGATTTGGGGGGATTCGGACTCGAGTGCATAAAGGGAGCACACCTGCACTAGCCAAGTGGTTGTACCCACGTCTGCAATTTCTATCTAAGAGTTTTCATATTTGTCCAATTTTTACTAAAACAAAGTTAAGGTTCATTGCATGGATAATCAAAGATTGAATAACATCAAATATTCACAAACGCCAAACAATTATTCTTTGTTCCGCTTCATGCATTTATTACTTAATACTAATTTGAGAATGTTACGAATTCATTTACTTTCAAATTCAATTAGAAGGGGAATGAATTTATCCACATTTTGTAATTAAAACCCCCATAATCTGTAATATATGAGAGCATAAAAAAATTGGGAAGACAAAGAAATTTAAACAAAATAGAGGGAGCATAAATTTGGAAATTTATCAATTTCCACAATCATTTAATTTACAAATTTAGTCTACAAATTGAATTTCTCTAGCATTAAATTACTCAGCTATAAATTCATGTAAATTCGGAAACACGTAATCCTAATTGTCTGTCAAAGTTCTTAACCTAAATAATTCTAAATCCACAATTCTTTTAGTTTATAACGCAGCTACAATGCAACGTTAATTTCTAGAATATGAAAGGAGAAAATTGCACACTTCCTTTTTGAGACGAACTGACTATTGTTAGCTAGCTTGGACAAGTGAGAGTAACTTATATGTAATAGATTTATTATCACTGTGATGGTGAATTTGTTTCCAGTAAATATTTCCCCCGAAAAGCATGACGTACAATACAATACAATACTTGTTAATGGCTTACACATTGGGACCGAGCAATTTTATAATATGTTATAGACAGATTATGTCATTTGCCAGCATAGGCCAAGAGAAGGCAACACAAGTTTGCCCTTGCCTTGAATTTGGCAATGGCCGCCAAACCAAATAAACTACACACTCACATCAAATATGAATTTGATATTTGAATTCATCATCATATCCATATATCATGGCCTCATATAACAAGTCCATATCTATTGACCAAAAAAAAAAAAATGCAAGTCCGCATATATCCAATTGTGGGTGAGTAAGCAACTTGATAGGCAATGCTGATTACCCCGCCCATGGAACCAAAGCGAGAACAATTCAGAAATAAACAAAAATAATAAAAATTCTAATATTTTATTAATCAAAATATACTTGCTATACAAAACGAAAATTACACAATAAATACATAAATTAATGTTACTAACTTGATTACAGAAGGTAGAGGCTAGCGTAAAAGCTATGTCCTGCAAACAATATTTTCTTCCCACTCCTGTGCTTGTGGTTCTATAACGTCTGCTCGACCAGAATTCAACTACCTAATTCTACAATCCGCACTGGATTCTAGAACTCTAGCGAATTTTCTTTTTGTGTGTTTACTCTCTAGAAAATTCGTACAGAAGGAAAGAGCAAGAAAAGATATATTTATTTGGATACTGTGATTGCAGATATAAAATACCTGTTTAGTGTATTTGAAGGTACACAACTCTTTCTAAGAGCTGTGTCTTTTAATCAAAACGTTTTTAATTAATAAATTAATTAAAAACTTAATCCGAAAATTAAAATTAATGAATCAGATTAATCCCAAGGCACTTGTCTTGATTAATTAACATTAATTGTATTTAGGCTATATTATACAAGCCTAATCCATAAGGCCCAAGCCTTCAATCCATTTCCAAATGGCTCATGTTGTAATTACTAGACTAAAGCACTAAATCTATATAAAGGTCTTTGGCAATTTTGTTTTCCCCAATGTGCGACAAGAGTCTCAAAACTTCAAACAACTACCAATTTAAAGCACGTTTAGAAATCACTAATGATGGTTTATTTACATATATATATATATATTTGTATATACAAACTACATATTGACTACATGCTGCATGTGCAATGCTTAAGCTAAGATTCAGAAAGAAAACAAAAGAGGAGAGAAAACACTTTCATGGCCTAGCTCCTTATAGCTATGAAGCACGACACTGCTGCCATAATAATGGTGATTGCAACAAGGCTTACATCGTCAAAGATGGCCGCGAAACGCATTTCTTGCAGCTCCCAAATAGTCGAAGCGCAGTGACTCAGCCCCGCACAAATCATTACCAAAATAGCCATTTCCTTCTGGTATCACCACAATCACATGCAATGGCATTACAAGTACTACTAGAACTGAATTCTGAGCATTAGACAGGAGGAAATAAAAGGAAAAAAGACCTAGCAGCTATCTCATCCCTAATATTGTTGACATATATAGTAGTGAAGGAAATCTATACACACACATATATATATATGTGTGTGTGTGTGTGTGAGAGAGAGAGAGAGAGAGAGAGAGAGAGCTAACCTAGTGTGTCACAGATTGTACAATAAGTTCTTGGAGTTTTGCTTATAACACGGTTTTCAGCTGCTTCTAGGATGCTTCCTACTATTTTCTGTGATATAAGATCCACACCAGGATGGGCCCCAGGAAATCACATTTGTCGTCAACTACCGATGATTTAATTTTCTGCATGTAATTTCTTGGCTCTGTATACTAGGCAATAGATGTTGCAATGTTTCTGTTCAGTTTTATATTCGCAAGGATTGAACTCTCATTTTGCATGCGTTGTCGACTTGTGGTTTGGTGTGATCCAAAAGATTTCTGGTTAATTATCTGCTGTCAAAAGGTAAGTTTTTAAGTAACTAGCTCGAAAGGAAACTTCCGTGATCGAATTTTGTGAACAATTTATTTTGGGTTTTATCAAATTTTCTCTAAACGTTGGGACTATATTTTGTTAGGCAGCCTAATACCCCATCATATACAAAAACTAAAGAAAGAAAGAAACTTGGCCAAAATCAAGTGTAGTGGTATTTCAGAATTCATACAGTCGATCTCACTTAGTGGGATAAGGATTTTTTGTTATAATGTGATATCTAAACTACGTTTTAATTTATATGAGGTTCTGGTTCGTACTCGGTTGCGAAGGATGGGCATACTGTGTTGATCAATTGACATAGTTCACATATGTCACATCTAATTTAAGGCATATATTTTTTGTGGAATTAAATTACAAATTCAACTAATATATTACATTCTTCTTGATGGACTAGACTTATTCACATTTATTCACGCGTACACTAGACAATCTTGTTAGGATGCTTTCAATGGCCGCAAATACCAATGCCAATTTATAGGTCCAGATGATTCTAAAACATGAGAGAAAAGAGAAGGTTTTACAGCCGTGTGAGTCCCTCCAACACCATCTCAAGATTTTGAGTTTATAATTGGTGATCACCTTATAGAACTTGTACATGTCACTCATTAGCCTTTTACACGCCACCAATTTTGGACTCAAAGTTTGTATTTGGGTCAAAATTGAGTTTATAATTAGTGATCACCTTATATAACTTGTACATAACCAAATTGTAGAGCCTAAAATAAGTCCAAAAATTCTGGAGGTGATATGTGAACTTTTGCTCAAGAAAGACCAAATTGCCCTCATTAAATGGGCAGGCTCCTTAGATACTTCCACGAGCAATTCACACCCCTGAAGGTCCCAGCAGCTGTTACTCCCATGCACAGTTCACACCCCTGAAGGTCCCAGCGGCTGAATATGACTGCCCGCATCTCACATGCCCTTGGCAAGGAAAAGTCAAAGCATTAAAGATAAGGATTAATTACCCAAATCCTATCTTTAATAAATTCCTAATTAAAGATTGACTTCATTCAAGTAATCCCAATTTAAACCAATTAGGGATAAGTACTTCATTATCTCAATATATTATTTCCTATTTAATATCTTGAGAATATTTCTCCATAAACCTTGGCCAATAGGATGCTGCCATGTGTAGGGTAAAACCCTAACACTATGGTCGGTCCTCTCCTCCTATATATACCCCATATTCTACCAAATTTCTGTAGGTTTTTGCTACCCTAAAAAGCCCTAAACATTTTACTCTTCTCAGAGAAACTAACTTAGACATCAGAGATCCATTGACTTAATTCCTCCCCACCTTGTGGGCATGTGAGGCTTAGGTCATTAATCAAAGGTGTTGATTGTTTTGCAAGTGCAATTTCGTCAAAGCTAGAGAAGGCAGAAATTTGCATTGACAAATTGGTGCTTTCATTGAGAGCTAATTCAAATACACAAAGAAGCCTTTTGCATTTGGTTTCTTAAATTTTCTATTACGTTGAATTTCACACACGTCGTATCAATTAATTTTCCTAGAAAAGTTTATTGATCAAACCCTAGAGAAATGATACAATGATAGGAAATTTAGAAACTATGACGAACAGAACCCTGTACGTATAAGGATTTGAACCGGAGAGTAGAGACGATGACATAACCCCATGACGGCGGTTCTCAAGACTCAACACGACGGTGGGAGGAGCCCCACCATTGCGGACCGCACCACCATCGTTACCACAACCCAACAGCCACGACAAGGCCACCAGGCCACAGCACAATCTCATACACTGCTGCCCATGTAGCGC